GATTTCTCGCTTTCTATCTCTCTCTGTCTGGCGAGCGCACGCGCCCCATAGCAAAACAAAACAAAAAAAACTCTCAAAAAAAAAAAAAACAGGAGGTCCTAGGTTCACATACTGGGGGTCTCCCTATGCATTCCAGGTGCATGCCTATGTGTGCCCATCATCTGGGCTAGCTGAGTCTAGGGGAGGGTTACAGCATGAGGACCCTGTTGAGGGTGACCCTTCTATCTCTCTCTTTTACTCTGTATCTGTCTCTTTCATGGAAGAAATCAACTTAAAAAACATATAAAAGTGGGACCAGCAGTTAGTGTAAGGGCTATGTTGCTGAACTTCCATGTAGTCGACCACGATTCAAGTCCTGGACCCGGTGGCTTAAACTGACGCCAGGCTCGTGTGTGTGCTGTTATACTGAGAAAAATAAAAGTTGGATAATTTCTAGTGTTGACAGTGTGCTTCTGAAGTAGACACTTTCATGTTTTAGATGCCCTTTTAAAAAATTTTCCAGAGGGTGTGTGTACTTATATGAGAGAAATGGGGGTGGAGAGTAATAGAGTACCCCCCGTAGGAAATGGTCATACTGCAATCCCTTTTCCTCCATTTGTCCATTCTTTTGGAATTTGGGGCACACACATACATGCTCCTGGCATGTTTCTCAAACCTCCAGATCCAGGACTCAAACAACACGGTTGAACATGTGGAATCTAGCCATTGAAAACCAATGTTTATTTCATGACTTAGAAATATGAAGATATTTTTAATATTTTAGTCAGTCTTTATTTCTTATTTTATTAAAAAATCTCTACATACTCTTTACTCATTTTGCTTTGTCTTCATGTGTTCCTTAATATTTGTGCTTCCCTCTCCATGCATAAAAGCCTATGTATACAACCCTATAGGTCCTGTTATTATTATTTTTAGGGGTGGGAAAAGAAGGAGAAAGAGATCAGGGACCAGCAGATGGTGTAATGGTTACATCACTGGACTCCAATGTAGTCAACTGTGGTTCAAGTCCTAGACCTGGTAGCTTGAAACTCACACTGCATGCGCGTGAGATCCCAACAGGAGAATGGAGGACAAGGGATTGCAGCATGGCCATTCCTCTTGTGGGGGGGGGATTTCTCACTTTCTGTCTCTCTGGCGAGTGTACGCGCTCTACAGCAAAAATCTGTCTAAAAATAAAAAGGAGAAAGAGGACAAATCCATTCATTCTTTGTCACTGTGCATTAAATGTCACACAAGAAACATACTTTTAACAAATGAAAATAACTTAAATAATGCATTTACTAATTTCCTATTGCTGGTTTAACAACTTGCTGTACACCAGGAAGCTTAAAATAACAGAAATTTATTCTCTCATTGATCTAGAGGGAAGAATTTCAATATCGGTATCACTAGGGCAAAATGAAGCTGTCAGCCAGGCTGCATTATCTACAGATGCTTTTGGGGAAAATCCTTTTCTTGCCTTTTTCAGCTTCTGATACTTCCATCATTAATTAGCATGTGGTTGCATTGGCCAATCTCTGCCTCTATGGTCACATTGCCTTTTCTTTCTGTGTGAATCATGTCTCTTGTGTCATCTGTTTTCCTCTGCCTGACTCTTATAAGGACACTTGTGACTGCATTTACAGCTCCCTCTGATAATCCAGGGTAATCTCCCCAGCTCAAGCACTTTAACTTAAACACATCTGCAGATTCTTTTTTGCAATATAATATGAATTAGGATATGGGTATCATTTGGGGGACAACTATTCAGCATACCATATTATAGGTCACTGTCATTGTTTATTATACAGAAAAATGGTCAACACTTGGGACCAGCAGTTAGTGTAATGGCTATGTCGCTGGACTCGCATGTAGTCGACCGCGGTTCAAGTCCTGGACCCTGTGGCTTAAACTCATGCCGGGCGCGTGTGCGTGCGTGCTCACGATCCTGGGAGGAGAATGGAGGAAAAGGGATTGCAGCGTTGGCCATCCCCGCAGGGGGTGTGTGTGTGATTTCTTGCTTTCTGTCTCTCTGTCTCTCTGGCTCCGGTGAGTGCACGTGCCCTGTAGCAAAAAACTCTCCAAAAAAAAATCCAAAAAAAAAAAAGGGGGGGGCAACACTTCATACTGTTCATACTGGATCAGTATGAATGAGTAATAGAATGAGGTTTTTTCCTATCAAACTATATAAAAGTTAAAAATAAAAGGTGTAGGTAGTTGTACAGTATAATAGATTGTTGGCAGAAATATAAATTAATTTCAACAGATTCTTTGCTACAAAATGGAAAACCTCATAGCACTGCTGAAGATGTAAAGACATATGTGTTTATAAGAGCCAAGCCTGATAGACATTAAACCATAAGACATTAATGAAGTCGTGGAAAATATTTTGTTATTGTTCATAAACATATAATTAACCCTATTTTTCTTCTTTTTCTTCCTCCTCCTCCTTCTTTTAGAGAGAGATTTTTGCCATAGGGCATGTATAGAAGATTAATTTTAAATAAATAGTAAAATATACAGTGTTCATGGCTTCTGGTGAAAGTTAGGTCTAGGACTTTCCATGTAGATATACTGTTTTTTTTGTTTTGTTTTGTTTTGTTTTTGAGAGGTTTTTGCTCATACTGTTCATACTGGATCAGAATGAATGAGTAATAGAATGAGGTTTTTTCCTATCAAACTATATAAAAGTTAAAAATAAAAGGTGTAGGTACTTTTACAGTATAATACATTGTTGGCAGAAATATAAATTAATTTCAACAGATTCTTTGCTACAAAATGGAAAACCTCATAGCACTGCTGAAGATGTAAAGACATATGTGTTTATAAGAGCCAAGCCTGATAGACATTAAACCATAAGACATTAATGAAGTCGTGGAAAATATTTTGTTATTGTTCATAAACATATAATTAACCCTATTTTTCTTCTTTTTCTTCCTCCTCCTCCTTCTTTTAGAGAGAGATTTTTGCCATAGGGCATGTATAGAAGATTAATTTTAAATAAATAGTAAAATATACAGTGTTCATGGCTTCTGGTGAAAGTTAGGTCTAGGACTTTCCATGTAGATATACTGTTTTTTTTGTTTTGTTTTGTTTTGTTTTTGAGAGGTTTTTGCTATAGGGCATGTGTGCTCACCAGACAGAGAGACAGAGA